CGGCTGTTCGTTGGCTGTGCCGCTGCCACTGCTGCTGCCTGTCCGACGATTCCCTCCTCCGCAACCCTCTTTTCTCTACCAGCTTCTACACCGCTGTCTAACCGTTCTTGTTCGCCGAGGAAACCGGAAGGGAGAGAACGGCTTGGGTGAAAATGACGCATCGTATGTGGTAAAGGGTGATTGTTTCCTTTTTCTTTTTTTTTTTTTTTGCCTTTTGAGATTTCATGAACACGTTTCTTGCTTGAGGTTTAATTGAGGGTGCCGATGGGGGATGCGTAGGTATGTCGAGTTAAGGGTGCAGAAAGTAGTAGGATGTAAGTTTCTAGAGGCTTGGTATGATTGTTAGACCGAGGAGAAGTTCTTATGAATTGATTGGATCAGTTTGAAAAAATTCGTACGATTTGCAAGTGAATCAATCTGAAAAAATTTCGTACAATTTAGGAATGAATCATAATCAGCAGAATCAGACGAGCAATTTGCTAATGAATTTTTTTATCGAATGTTGGAGTTTAGTGTGTGTGATTAATTCGATGTTAGTCTGGTGAACTTTTTTATGACTTTCTGAGAATCTGGAATTTTTACTTTCTGTTCGTATTGTTTGAACACCTTAAACCACCTGAAATCTTATTGATGGATCTGAAGATAAGGGAAATTTAGGATTGATAAGGTGAGATAAATTCGACGTGTTATTCTCACAATTGTGAATCGAATGAAAATTATGGCGTTCAGTTTGTCAGACACCACCAGACTAACCCAGGATTAAATTGAGTAACATCAAGTGCTTCATCCTATCAACTGTACCCACCTATTCTAAAGAATGTAATCTGATGTGAGAATGTTCATCACATTACACCTGGAATAAGAAGTAAAGAAACGTTTTTTAATCCCTTGCCTTATGATGGACGACATATGTTTGTTTGAACTATTTGCAGTTTTGATACCGTGTTAAATGACAAGAAGTTACTTAAATTTGATAAGCTTCAAGTATAATATCTCGACCATAATCTGCATCACGAGTGCGGCACGTTACAATAAAGCAAGGGATTAAATGAAAAATTTAATAATTTCATCAAAGGACGAAAAACTGTCGTATAAATCATTTCCTTCTAAGCACACTGCTCACCTTAACCCTAGAGCGGTCTTTGGGTCTTTTTTGACCCACCGCCTTTTTATATTTTTAGTAATTTTTGCTACTATCAAGTTTCCGTTCCTTAACATTATTTTAAACGTTTATTGTCTAGGTTCATATGTCGCGTTGGAAACAAAAATTATTACACATAAGGTCTTAGGTCCTTGTTGACCCAAAAGTCTTAACTGTACAGTCAAAACGAAGAACGCACTAGGGTTAAAAAAAACACTAACCTAACCTAACCTAACCTTCGAAAAACTAAACTCAGACTACAGTTCCTGCAAACAAAAAATTGTTCCAATCTCCTGTACGTTGCAACACCTCCATAGTACCAAAAGATAAATCACAATGGAGCCGATGAATTAAATATGGAAGACCTCGGGTGTCGTGTGAGTAGATAATCAGTTACACCGATCTAGCGGAAAGTCCGTCAGGCCAGGAGATCGGCAAAGTCCGTCGATCGTTGCGGCACAATGACATTTATGACGAATCGTTATAGTAATGACATTCGTGGAGCCACCGGTGGACAATCGTGACTAATTGTTATTGTTTCTTGTTGCGGCTGCCGCGAGCGCAACTACCGCGCGGCTTATGTCCACCGATATGATATAACGCGTTGTTTATCGCACAGTTGGAAGTGGTGTGCGGCTGGTAGCGATGCTGCTGCTAGCTGGCAAGCAACGATGTGTTGGCGGTTGATGGTGGTGGTGGAGGGTTCCCAGCGAATTGTAAAGATTACGCCCGATGTTTATGCATTTATGCTGAATTATTGTCGGCGGGGCTTTACCGATGTTTATGCTGATTTACGCTTTGTGCTATCTGCCGGGACACATTGTCCCGGAATTATTATTCCGCTGCGTCACTCTCGCGCCGCGAGGAACCGAAATTTCGGATTTCGTTCGCGAGCTGGAAAATTCTCGTCGCTGTTCCACCTATCCCTCCACCCCTCCGGCCCTTCTCGCGCGCCGATACGAACCATCGGTTTTGCCGATGCGCGCCACTCTGATCGTTCATTGCGAGGAATCGATGCTAGGTGATACACGGTGTAACGAGGTGTAGTGATTCTTCTAATTGAGATCAACGTATGTACGTTGCGAACGATTGTTCTTTTTTTTTCAATTTATGATCTGTAGAGAAAGATATTTGCATTGTGTGGGGTGCTTTGATAGGTTCGTTAAATAATACTGATTTAATAGTAATTTATATAAATTTTTTGTATGTTTGAAAGGAACATATGTTGCGAAAGAATGTTTTTCATTAATTTATAATTTGTGGAGGAAGATGTTTCTATTATGTGAGATACCTCGATAGGTTCATCGAGTAATAGTGATTTATATAAATTCTTTTCCAAGTAGGCAATTATAACATATTTTTGGTTTCGAGATATTTCACTTGTGGTACTTGCGTGTATGAAAAGAACTATTTTAGTGCGTTACTAAATAATTCAACTTGTACAAAACATGTGACAACTTCAAGTTTTCCAAACTTTCCATTTATTACTACTTTCAAAATGATCAGTAAAAATTTTGTAATATATGAATATAAAAATTTTAGAAGAAAATTAGTGTGATTATTTGAAATACTTTTATGAATTCAAAATTTATATAACTTCGAAGCTTAATTATCCTAATTAACATTTTTGGAGCATCCGAGAGAAACGAAGAAAAAGCTAGTGAAATAAATTAGACTATTTTTAGAATTTTAACATCGGTGAAAAACATGTGGAGCTCCAAATATTTCGAAAGAACCTGAAAGATTGGTAGATAGGACATTTTAGCTAAGGAGGATAGTGCAGTTTTTTAACAATTTTCTTCAAAACGTCCGTCCAAATTTTTCACTAAAATACTCAAGCTTTCCTTATATTACTGCAACATCAATACCTTCAAAAATAATCTGAAACCAATTTCCGTACACTTAACCCTTCTTACGCATTGCAGCCCAAATTTCAACTATTTCTTTCTCCAATTACTTTTCTCCCTTGTTTCGTATTTTCTTCTATTTTAATAGCAAATTTATTTTTCCACCTCATTTATCGTTTAATATATTTTTAAGCACACATCGAAGCTACAGAAAAATTACTTTCTCTTTCTCTATTTTGCGAGGACAAAACGAACGCGTGTAACGGAGGGATCAATCATCGAGAATCCACTGCAACGTTTCACTCTGAATATTAATCGAACGTATGTGCACGCATAGCGAAGCATATCGAAGTAAAATCCCTTGGCGAGATGCTCGAAGTAATTCGAGTGGTGTGCATTGTGCTCGCGGTTTCCGGGAGGATTCCCCTACGCGAAACGCGTCGCACGTAAAAAAGAGTTCCCGCCCGTGAAACACCTATCTCGCTCGCTTTCTTTTATCTCCACGAGGCGAAGCATAAATAAGGACTGCGTTTGTGCGCCTCTTGGGTACATAATGGAGTATTATGTGACGGAGATACCACGGGGCTCTGACTCTTCCCTTACTCCCCTCACTTTTACCAGCCCCACGACACAAACGTCGTACTGCGCCTCCAAGCCAGGGTGTGTGTACAAGATATTTACTACAAATACCCATGGTGTCCCGTATCGTGTTCTAGCACCACGATAATACGTCCCTTTGTACGGATAACGGTGTCGAGAGCAAAGTTTACCGAATTCTCGAGTGTCTCGTCTCGTCTCGCGTGATTCTTCGCGTGATAACGCGACACCTTGGATTATCGAAGGTAGATAAAGGTCGGAATCATTGTTTAAGGGTGTGCAAGAACCGCTTTCTCCTCGTTACCGTAGGAAACTTAACCATTTTTACCTGTACATTTTTCATTGGAACTTTTTCCAAGATTTCAGCATAGAAATTTGTAGAATTTATCGATTAGTTTGTTAATTTTCTGAACTACCTATTTATGATAAACGAGTCACTCGAGGAGTGACATTTATGTTCCTCGAACGTCGAAGATCTAGAAAAGCTGCTCGATCCTCGCGGGGCGTTTTCGTTTAACCAGCGGTGCCAGGGATTACGCGTTCGACCCCTCGGAGAACTACGAGTTCCCCGTAGCAAAACTATTCAATTAAGCCACCCCTGAACCGTTCGAAGACAGGCCTCCCTTCTGACCTAGCGATAGCGAGTTTAACGGTAACGGCGAATATCTCGAAATTTTTACATTTCGTCTCTCTGCATTTTTCTTTCATCGCTAAATCCTAAAAAAATACTCAATTACAAATTGACCACGATGTAATTCACCACAACAATTTTACTAATGTGTAACTCCGCATTTCTTCCATCGTTAAATCATAGAAAGAATACCTAATTACAAATTGACCACAGTGTAATATACCCACCTGTACGTAAAATCGATATGCTAACAGAAGAAATATTTTCCTTTCAGAGCCCTTCACATGAAGGAGCACCCGGACTACAAGTACCGTCCCCGTAGGAAGCCAAAATCCCTCGTAAAGAAGGAGAACAAATTTGGTTTCTCGATATCGCCTCTGATGTCCTCAGGAGAGACCCTAGGCAATATATCGAGAGGTCTGCTGCCACCTTTAGCTCCTCCATCGCACCACACGCTGATGAGCCACGAGGACCTCAAGATTCCTCGTTTCTTTCCGCCTTTTCCCTATCCTCTCTACCCAATCCAGCACAAACTGAGCGAGGAGTTCAACGGTGGCAAACTAGCTGCAGATCTAGCCTTCCAAGCCCTCTACGGAGGCAGCACCTTTTATTCCAGCCATCAAGCCATGTCTTGGCCAGGATTGTCAACAGCCACCTGTCTTCAACCCAACTGTGGCTGTCCAAGTCCACCGAAAGACCCTAAGAGGCCTTACTTACCCACGAAACTAGAAGAAAGGCCATTCCCTAGCCCGGGGAAACCAGAAGACGATGGGTTTCCGTCAGATAGAGACTCGAGTAGGGAGGAACCTCGATACAGAAAACTCGAGGAAGACGCATTTTCCTCGTCGGTGGACAGGCACCAAGAAGATAGATCACAGGATCGTTTCTCTTCCTCTTCTTCGTCCTCGCCCACTGATCAGACAGAGAAGATCAGCAATAGTGTGCCAACGACGACGTCAACAGTGACGACGAAGGTGGAGAGCGCATTTTCCGTGCAGAATTTGACGTCGTCCAGCTCGAACTTGGGCGCTCATCGAGGACACGTCATATGAAGACCGCTTCCGGTTCTCCCGGATCTGAATTTCCGGGGGAACCTAGTACCACCTGGATGGCCTAGTACGGATTGGTGGAGGGTACCACCGATGCTGTCGCCTATTCCTCAGGCTACGGTGACGAATCTGAGTGCGCCAGCGAAGGACGACGAGGTTCAGTTCCAGGAGGAGCAGCAGAGGAGCTCTGTGATGGCTAGGTCAAAGAGCATTCACATCGCTAATGTGCAGTGATCATTGATATTAGAGAAAAAGTTGCGGATTTTGATTGAGACGAATGGTTCGATTGGAGACTATGTGTCCGAATAGGTTTAGAAATGCAGAGACTTAGAATGTTGACTCTTGTAAAGGGTTCAAGGTGTGGTAACAGGAATAACACGTAACCTGTTGCGTTGTGTGATAATTCGAACAGCCTACTTAGCGCCACGCGTTTTTCTACGATTGTACATAATATACGTATATCGTTCGGATGTTCTCCCGGGTGAGACTTTGGTGGAAGTTCTTTGCTTGAATATAACTCGGTGAGAGGTCGAGCGTCGCGAATCTTCCCATCCCTCGAAGAAGTGTACCAAGCAGTTTTTTCTCCCGCATAGAGAACACGTTTTCTCGGAAACGCGAAAATTCGTTATGCGAGCCGAAAGCGGGTGTAGATACCAAAGCCGAATCGATAACTCGCCACGGCCGAAATCCCACAAAGAGCGAGTGGCGAAAGGGTCCTTTCTGGGCGAATCGTGTACACAGGGACGCCGTAGAGAAGAGTCCAATTTTGATGAGATAACCAACCCTCTCGTGGCACATATTACCGCGCGCACGCGAACCCAAAGCGGACAGAAAAGAGCCCCGTACGAGCACACAGTGGAAGGAAAAAAAAACCCTCTTCGGGAGCGGAGGCAAATCTCTTCTTTGGAGCGCGGCCATGCGAAATAAGCCAAACGTTCTGAATGCTAACGTAGATGCGACACAGCGGACCTGTATACGCGTTATACCTCCTCCCTATGCCCCCTCCCCCCCTTGCGAGATGATTTTATTGCGTCGCGGTGCCCGGCGTCGCGCATCGATACTGCAACTACCCGATATTTTTTCCTGTCTTTCTCGTTAGCGATTCTTTTTCTTCCTTTTGTTTCCTCGCTGCTATCGTAATTGCTCGCTGGATACATGATAACTGTGAGGGAGAGCTGGTAAGTGAATTATAGAGAATGATCGTCCGTTGGGTCTTGTTTCTGACGGCTCTTCGAAATGATTTGTAAAACCTTGTGATATCTGGATTATTAAGATTACGTTGTTCGAGGTTATTGTTCTGTTGCTTTCTCGTTTAGATAATATAAATAGTAAGGAAGATTGTATTAGGTCGTCTTATCGATGTGCCATTTAGATCAATATTTCAGACATACCTTTAAACGTTGTCGTCTCTCTTTCCCATCTTTTTAATAGAACCATTATACAGTCAATATAAAATTTCATCGTTACTTCTTATACAGTCGATTTTGTCAAATTCTTTGCATACTGAAAAATGTTGTGATGCACGAAAGAGATGGGGCAATGTCTGGAAAATATGATGGGTGTGATAAAATTCGCCAATCGAATTCGCGTAATTTTTTTGCACGTTTTACGTGAAAAAATCACTTTGTTTTCCAATTTTAAGAGTCCTGGACGTTTCACTGCTATTGCTTCCTTTAACTTTTCTACCTGTGCACGGTACACACGTCTCAATCAATGGTTTCAGTTCTCGAAATATAGAACACATCGTGAAGAGTATTTAATACGCGAATTTATTCGACGACCTGATACAAGTGATTTTCGTCTAAGTTTTATTGATATTTGATTGTTGATAATTTTCGATTCTAAGAATGTTTCACAATAGAAAGAATTTTTCTGCGATTGCTCGAAAAAGCTTGCAATGCTATGGAAAAAGAAAAGAATACAGCAGGGAACGTGATACCAGAACGTTTCGAATTTTTTACCGGAACAGCATAAAAATGCGCGAACCTAATAATTTGTTACTGCGAGGCTTTAAACGACTGTCCGGTAATAATAAAGCGTTCAATTCCGTGGAAAATTGTTTGCAGACGCGCTATTCTGTCTGCGCGAATTGTTGAATTCGTTACCAAACCACCCTTCTGACAGTGTAGTTTTATTGCAGCTGATTTTTCACAATCGACACGCACCCATATTTTCGAAAATTTTACACGCTTGTTTTGCCACGCGCGCGCTATTTTTCACCGACGAACGAACGAACATCACGAGCGTTTCAGAATGGAAACTAATTTCCACGGGCACTTTTTCCCCTCCCGCTCACCCACGTCTAGAAATTGTATACAGTTAAAAGAAGAGAGAGAGAGAGTGGAAAAAAAGAAGAAATCGTAACGATCGTAGAGAATCGACGATAAAATTGTAATGTAACGCGTATCTAAACGGATAGAGAGACATATCTTTCCTCCAATATTCACTGTAATTTCCTTGGCCACCGTTTTCTGTTTCGTCAGAGTAAATCAGAGAGAGAGAGAGAGAGAGACGAGAAGAAATGTAGCGATCGTATAGTCCGACTCGAGTTCTTTCCAATTAATCCCCGAAACGCGGCTGCGTCTTAATCCTCGATGCGACATGCACGTAACCATTGTTAATTATTTGCTGTAACATAACGCGACGTTTGTAAATAAATTGAATCTTAATCGAACTTTTCTCGTCATTTTTCTATTTCAGCTATTTCCCGATTTTTCGAAAGCGTTCCAGAAAAAATATTCTCCAGTCACGAGTAGATAATAAATTAATTCTTCAATTACTTAATTTATATAAGAGCTGAAAACGTTCTAAACAAAAAAATTCTACGATAACGAGTCAAACTGATTCGCTTTAAATGGAATTCGCTAGTAAGTATTCAGAAAAAGATCTCAACCCTGTGTAACCTGATTTTTCTTCGTTCATGAGAGAGAAAAAGAATAAATACATAAATTAATTATTATAAAAATATAGTGATCATTGTAAAAAAAATTTGCTGGTAACAATGTAATAGTACAACAACATAGTGGAATAATGCAACAATAAATAAATAAAACGAGACTACGTAACTTCTAAGTCACGTGACGTTATAGAGGGTTAAAATAAGTGCTTAAATAATATTTCATTTTAAGCAGATGTTTGAAGTAAGAATGAAATAATATTCAATATGTATATATATATTTGTTATTTACAATGCATTTCACAAAACTTCTTCGGCACTGTTATCAGAGCAAACACTGTCCATCAAAAGAATCACACATTATCTGAGAAAGAAAAAACTCCAGAGTCAATAAACTTATCGCGGTGCATACATCAATTCTCGATACATTCCACAGAAATAGATTTTTACACGTATCATCACTGGTCCTCGACACACAACTTAAAAGATAAAAAGCTGGTACGATGGAGAGAAGATCGTATACGTATCACCTTCGAATTCGTAGAACTAATCGGTGGTTACACGGTGGCATAGTCGAAAGGGGGGAAAATCTGTGGAACGAGTAGGAGGAACCCACGACGCCTCCCCTTTCGGAGTCACGATCCTCCCCACCGTTGCGTCGTGTTTTATTTCTGATAGCGACGCCTCCGCCGTCGCCGCAAGGACATTATCGCCACCGCGAAGGACCCTTTCTTCCCCCATAAAGGCAATCACGCTTTCTTCGTGGCGAGATAACAGCAGAATGGAGAGCCAGAGACGGCTCCGTTCGCGCCAGCGAATTCCACGACGATTCCATAATTCTCCTCTTGGCCATGGAGAGCGAGCAAAACGATTCTTTCCACTATTTTCTCGCCGTGAATAGGATTTCACGAGAGTTACGAACATATTGTCCTCTGTACATTCTACTCTGTTTATAATACAATCGAGAATCTTATCTCATCTGTGATCTATGTAGGTCAGAATTGTGGAGATTATTCTCCCGACAATGACTTGGAATTTTCAAATTAATCGAATTCGACAAATGTAAAAATTGCAACGTTCGATGAAATTGTGGTAAGATAAGGAATACGAAGGAGGTGGTTTAGTCGGTTTTTTTCGAAATGTCGGCGTTTAAAATCTTGTCGAAAGCGCGAGGAACGACCGGAAGCTCGAAGAACCGACGTAGACTCGAAATGCGCGGTGGGTGTTCCGATTCGAAAGTGATTACATTTGACTTGGATTCCGTGCCTCCTTACGGCAAAGGCAGCCTCTGCCTGGTACAGAGCCTCGGCAACGAGGACATTCTTCCCCGACAATACCTCCCACAATCGAGCGAGCAGCACTTCCGCGCATACTAATGGAGAGGCGCCTAGACTCCTTTGGCCAGTCAGTAGTCGACGCCCCAATCCACCCTTTTCCCCCCTTCGCTGCACCCCTGCTGGAAAACTTCTCCTAGCGCGGGAGAGAAGACTACTACCCCCCTAGGTTTCTAGAGGAGAAATGTCGCGACGTTGTGGATTTTTCCGAGGTAATCGATTTTGTGTTTGCCAACTACTTTTCGACGAACGAATGGATAAGATAGTTCCGTGTGAGAATGAAACTAGTAGGTGCAATTCATAGAAATTGAGCGGCGATTCTTGGCGAGGATTAAGTGCAATTGAAATCAGATCTCTTGTGGATAGTCGATTTTACGTTTCTGGGCCACTTTTGGGTGAATTAAATGATAAGGTAGTTCTGTGATCTCTTGTCGATTTTTCAAGGGTAATCGATTTTACGTTTCTTACGTTTTGGAGGAGAAACGATGAAAATGAAACGAACAATAAGTGCAATTGAGAGTGCATGAATGTAGGAATTGTATGGTGATACTTGGTGAGGATTAAATGTGATTGAAATTTGTAGATTATGTTTCTGCATTACTTTTGGACTAACGAAAGGACAAGTTTTATTTGAAAATGAAACTAAATGCAATTGTAGGCATGAATGGCATGAGTGTGATTGAAATTAGAGTTTTTGGAAGAAATGAAGAATTCAATAAGTAAGATTGTACAACGTTATTTCTTTATTAATGTGCAATTGAAGCGTATACCCT